GTGTCGTGTCAAACTAATATCACTATTACTTGTCGTGTCAAACTAGTGTCACTATTACGTGTCGTGTCAAACTAATATCATTATTACGTGTCGTGTCAAACTAATATCACTATTACGTGTCGTGTCAAACTAATATCACCTAATGAGTCTTGCGTTAAACAATTTTCGCTAGTGTGTGGTGTGTGAAACTAGTATCACTATTACGTGTTTATATCGCTACTGGACGTCAGTGAACATTTCCGGTTTAACGACAAAGTCAAAGCATCAACCATTCGGATAAAACTCTAAACAAGTCATCAAATAGTTGGCTTTTTGTAATATAATGCCCACCACTGATATCAGACAGGGGGTATATTAGAAATCAGGATAAGTCTGAAATCTCTCCACTATGTTCTATAATCTATTGTAGCGTGCCATTTGGCGGGCAAAGGTACGATTTATACCGCCATTAGAAGTAAAATATCACAGGCTAGCGATGACTTCGAGAGTTGATTATGGTCTAATTAATAATTTAGATAACATTTCAGGCCTAAAGAAAGACCTGCAATAGGCAGATTTAGCTCATGCATAATGTATGTTTAAATAGTGTATTATACAATAACAATGTCTAATTTTATTGTGCTATGCCCTGGAGGTAATTAATATGTTACGTTCATATTCAAGTATATGACCTAATTACATTCAAGTATATATTTCTAATATTTCAAATTTCAAACAGAGAGAGAGAGAGAGAGAGAGAGAGAGAGTAAACGTCCACTAACGCAATTGAAGATTTTTATTTCAATTTCAATTATTCATTTACGCGGAAAGGAGAGGGTGGGTGGTACTCTCGACTAAAACGTTTCCTGAAGAAAATTAAATATTCGGGTTAAAAGAAAGTCCATTCGTGTCCACATTGGCGTGTATGGAAGTAACTTTCTAATAACTAGTTTATTTCCTCCAGTATTGATTTCATATTTTTCAAGTCCAACTTTCACTGGCGCCTGCACGGAAATAACTTTATAACATCTAATGAATAATATTGCTATTTATTTGGTATTTTTTGATCCGGTATTTGTGGATTAATGACAGAGTTCCCGGTATGTCTAAGGGATAAAACTCTATTTTGCAATATTGGGTCGTGGAATTTATCCACCTTGCACAAGATGTTTGCGCCCTTGAGACAACAAAAAAAAGAGTTATTATTTAATGATGAAATTGACAATTCACGATTGTTGCGTTACGATGGATGTTGCAAGACTGGGGATAAACATAGTTAACATTTTTGGACTAGGAACTGGTTGCTAACCGCTACTCATCGTGTTTTTCTTCTCCTAGGTCTTCTTCTTGGGGTGACGCTCTTCGAAAAGCCTAAGGCCCTGCCTGCCAATTCAAGTCCGATCGCCATGAAAATTGACATGCTTGTTCTTTGCACAATTCTGTATCGTTTTGGTGAATTAGATGTTTGAATTTCATCCAACAACATGGTCAGTTCCTGGTTCATAGTACGTTCGTACTTGTTTTATAGAACAATGTCCTATTGCAAATATTCATGATTTACCAATGGCTTTAATTATTTCTGATGAAAAATCTCTAAATGGTGTTTGTGTGATTATTGAACCTTGTTGTACAGGATATGTAGGGCGCCAAATGAATGATGAAACATCAAAAAGACCTTCAGTCGATAAACCCGCCGATATATAGTTTTGATATAATTAAGTATTCCTCAATCAAGAAGCTAGACCTTTAACTCAAAATCGTCCATAATTTTCGACATTTAAAACATAAGCATTGATGAATTAGGTATTATCATTTGGACTTAACAGCCAAGTATAAACCTATCAATAGATTTATGCAGTAATATTATTTTCTTCGCAGGCCGATTATCAGAAGAGTATTCATTAGCTTTCAAAAATGGTCATGAAATGAAAGTCTTACCTTTCCTCTGCTATGAGGAAAATTTTGACGAGACAGTGGCCCTACTGTTTAATTCGAATTCCAACGGTCAAAAAATTCTTTTAGTCCACGCTGCCGAATCGATTTAAATATGAAAATTAACTTTCTTTTTACGGCTTTTTTTCTTTGTGCGTGTCGTTTGCTCTGTTTTGGATGTGTATAAATGTTAAAATAAGTCCCAAATATAGCTCGTTTATTGGATTTTTTTCTGTGCATGAATCAGTCTACCCATGAGTTTCGTCTCGGAAGTTGATGTAGTCTCTACATTCCAGGTCGCATTTGAATACGCGCACTGATAATTGAATTCATTGTAAAATATACAGGTTTTCACGATTGGATAGTATTGTTTCAAATTATATTGTCACCATAGGTAGAACACATAAGAACCATTCGAGCTAAAATGCTCCAAAGTGAACGACGAGTGTGATGTAAACATCTCTTACAAATGAAATGGAAATTTCTATCAGGATTCAGATTCTGGATCATTACGGTACCTGAAATTAAGAAACGGTCTATTGTACACGCAACACGTAAATTTAATGAAAACGGAGAAAATGGAAATCCTTGGATGAGATTGGCGTGTAAACGTCCACTCGACACAAACTGAATGTTTCCGTTGTATTTCAGTGTTTGGTCAATTTGATTGTTATAAGATACGCATTTCGCAAGAATTAAGAAAAGAACTTGAATTTTGACGGTATCTGGATAATTAGAACGGTTCTCATCCATGGAAGCCAGAATATCACTGTACTTTAAATAAATCTATCATCCGATTATGGATGGGGTGTTAAATTTACTTCAAAAGAAGGGTCAGTTTTCATCCATGATTTGTGGGACAAGCCTTTCTTAGATACCTGGGGGGGGGGGGGGGTTGGATGGCCGAATGGTTAGCACGTGCGCATTGTATCATAAGGTCTTTCATTGAGTCAACTAGCGTGGTTTCGATTCTCCGGTTGTACGTGACAAGGAGTAGGGTCGCCTGTTCAACCTCGTGGGTTTTCTTCGGGTCCTCCGGTTTTCTCCCATTGCTAAAGACCCCCACGCGCAAGCGAATTATTGAAAGAAAACTTAACCGTATGTTAGTCCTATTACTGTTAAGGAAACTAAGGCTTTGTATTTAGCTGTTGTATGTCTTAAAGATAAAGTAAAAAAATTGTAGACTCGATGCTTGTGTCGATAACAAAGTATTGATTTATTGCTGAAACAAGCAGATGATCAGTTCTCCTCTTCTAACTAGCGCCCTGAAGAACTTGTTATTTCTTATTTTGGAATACAATATTTTTATTAACTTGATTTATGTATTGCCGCTCTCTAATGAAGCCGATGCTCCTTCCAGAACCTTGACCAAGTCAGATGCTTGTATTTCTCATAGGACATTTAAAGGGGTAGAGCTGTTCTTTGGACCTCAAACTTTAGATCAAATGGCGTTTGATTCTAACTGTATCATTAGTTTGAATGACTCATCACACACTTTTGCAAACCCCTTTATTGGCTGGAATTAACATATTTCCCCATATCGTAACGGATAATGAATTGAAAACCCTTACGGTTTTAATATTATTCCATCCATCTTTGTTGGAAGAACAATCTATACGTTATACGGTTGTACCGTAGTGCCTGCATTAGCTCCCGTCCCTGCATGCTTTCCAAAGTTTGCACGATTCTCACATGAAGCTTATTTGTTGGCTTTTAAAGGACAAGTCGGCCTTGTTATATCCTTCTAAGTCAGGATTTAAGCCAGACAAATTAGGCATACCGTGGAATTTGTGGGTCGTTTGTTTCACACCCCAATGTAGCTAATTTAAAATTGTTTGTTTGTCCTCCACCAACTCATTTTCCGTTTATTATTGGCGATTCGATCGTGTCTAGTTTGAAACTATTTGTTACGGAAAGGAAGCTGTTTTTCGAGAATTTCAGTTATATAGCACATGTTGGTATAATAAAGATATTAATAACCCGTCGAAAGAATTCCATCAGCTAACTATTTGAAAGGAGAGCTTGAAAGACTTAATCTCTGTATTAATAAGCTATTTTAAGGAAATTACTTTCATTTTTTCTTATTGTATACGACAAAAACGACATTGGAGCTCGTTGGGAATTGGTAAATGAACATGTGTTAAGTTTGTCAGAAATGGAGTAATGATTTAATAGATGGCTTACATCTGATTTATCTCGGAGTTCGAAAATTTGTTGGAAATTTAGGTTTACACTCCTAAATACAACAATATTTTCTGCTGCAGGATGTTAATTTATGTTTTATGGCATCTTTACAATAAAATAAAATTTATATATATATTTTTTTATGACAATGCAGTTCCGTCGCAGTGAAAGACGGAAATATACTTTGATGCCCCACCCCTGTCCCCATCCTTTTGTAACTGAATGCATACTTTCAGATCATTTGAAAGTGGTCCTTGACTCTATATACCAATTGGTAGTACGTTACTGTTCGGGTCTTTGGACCCTGACCGGAAGATGGGAACACGTGATCTTTGAGTGGCGTCATTCATTAACAGCCGAAACGTGAAAGTAGAAAATAAATTAACTACTGCACAATTAGGTTTTAGCATTTGTTTTTCCAAATTAAATAAAATTTGATCCACCCAACCCATTGCCCTATTTTATATTTTTACTTTATTCCTACAGTCATTCCGACATATTTTTACTTCAGATCTCACATCTGTAGAAGTGAAACGGTGCGGCCATTATATTATGTATAGCACAATAGAGACTGGAAGTTGATTTTCAATTATTACGTATTGGAAATAACATAAATGCGGGATTGTCCCGTCTGTCCGGCTCGAAAGCGTTCGGTTTAAAACAACTTCCGTTAAATTGAAAACAGAAACGAATAGAATATTTTACTTTAACCATTACTTATTTTATTATTGAATCTAATGTTATACAAAAATGCAATTTCAAAAATATACAAAATGCCCATCTCAACATATCACAAAATAGCGTAACAAAGTAAGCATTAAGCTCAATAAAGAAAGTAAAAGTCGTGGTATTTGAAGATAAATACATCATCAGATGTCAGAAGATATTTATTGTGGGTTTTTGTAAAAAAAAAGTATTAAATTTCTTCCATTATACTATATATGTTCCATTTTACAGATCATCTTACTTCAGTAATCTGAAGACAATGTCGAAAGGTTTTTTTTATCATTATATAAAATTGCGAAAATGTCGAAATGAACAGAAGAAATTACTTTTCTCTGGGACTAATATGGATTGAGTAGTACTGTGTTGTAGCCCATATGCAGTACACATATAACATGACAGACAATAGTTGTTATAATATTACCCACCAGTGCAGAGATTATAAATAATCCTTTCATGCTAGAAAGTTGTTAATGGTGATTATTGTTCCGTATTTATCTTAACTACAGCTCTTACATCGTATGTCTTTAAATACCGTAACTGATGACAAGTTCCGTCGCTTTTTATGTACGGATTACGTATATAATGGATACATTTATTTGACTCTGTTGCTCTTAAAGGTGGATATCGTAAGAATTAGAGAAAGAGCTGCAACGTTTTTGCTATATTCGTTCAAAAACGTTACCTGACAATCTAGCCTAAGTCTCGATTATCTCTTTTATGGCTTAATTAACTCTTAAATTGCCTCGGTGTTCTAATCTACTTAAAATCAGGGAACAACGATGGCCAAGAGAGTTAATCATGGGCTTGTCATGTTAATAAATGTTCAATAATAATTTATATAACATTTGTTGAAGCCAAATATATATACCTACACTAGGCAGATTAAGCTCTTACTTAATAAGGCATCTTTAAGAATAAATAAAGTTGTTAATTGTTTAAAGTTTTGACCATACTATCATTGTAGCCACAAAAATAAAACAATTATGTATCCAATTGAATACATAAAATATCACACACTTCAATTTGCTTGACAAGTTTGGTCAACAGCAGAATAATATGGTAGTATGTAATTATCTGTGAGAGAAGATACACTTCCTTTGTAATCGGTAATGACTTGTGTTGGCGTGAGCACTACACGACTTCCTTGTAGACCGTTTTTTTAGTTTGTCAATGATTTCGCGAGAACACTGGCGATATGGCTGGTAGAACAACATCTGGATCGCCTTTAGGGTTTTGTAATATTGAGTCCCTAGAGTTTGAAATGTCTGACAACCGATCTGTAACCAAACATGTGTTGAGTTCGAGTCGCTCGTCCTTCACACTTTCAACAGTTCGTGATTTTTTTACGGCTTCATTTTTTGACGCCGATTTTTTAGCAATTGAAACCGGGCGCCTGAGATTATCTATTTTACTCTGACGACTATCCATCTTGTTGGCAGCTAAATAATTGATTTGCACTGGTCTTTTATTCATGGGTTTCAGATCTACACTTATATTATTAGAATTACTGCGATTCACTACAGTTGTGATGACCGGCGTCTCCGATGACGAGCCGGTTTTGTCCGTTCTGCTGTTTCGTGATTTTTGCGCTTGGCGAGTGGGATTCAAATGTTTTCCCAGACGAACATACACGCTACTCTTTCCGCTAACATTGGAGATGATTTCTGTTTCTGTTGTAGATTTTTGTGGTGAGAGTAGTTTATTGATGTTTGATAACTCATCACTCATTGTCTTTTTTTCCTTTTGACAGGTTTTTCTGAGCCAGGTTGGGTTGGCACATAGTACTCGTTGTATATTAGTAGTTTTAAAGACTGAGCGTCTCACTGGGGTATAATCTTCACTTGTATACACGGCAGTCGGTATTTGGATAGGTGTTTTCTTTCCTATAAAGTAAATGAAATGAATGAAAACACATTTATTAAGGTAAATATAAAGCTATCGCAAAAAAGTGATGTGGTTTAGCGTTGCTTGCAAGAACTACCATTTCATTTGGCGCAAGAAATGTGTGTGAAATAGCTTTATTTAACGTCCGCTTCCACCGAGGTGATATCGCAAACAAAGGCGCAAGAACTGTGGTATGGTTTCCTTTATACAAATATTTAGTAATACAGATATTCACACGAAAAAAATCACCATTCACCAACTGTGCTTATGAATACGGGCATACGCCTTGTAGTGTTCTATATAATATATATTATTATGAGGGTCATTTTGCCAGGACAGCGGCATTTGCGTTTGCTCTAAATCGAATTCCAACTGCCAAATGTTCCTTTACGTGCACGCCAAAGTGTACACAGGAACTCGGGTTTTCGTCCCATCCGAACGAATAGATGCTGTACCTTGCCAGACTCCCCTTCCTTCACCACTGGCTCGGAGAATCCACAGTGATTCTAAAGTTCTAAAATTCTGATTTTAAACAATGTATAAGATCTAACACATACATTATATGTGCCCGTCTTGATTAGCCCAGTTCGTAGCAGAACAGTAGGACGTTAAACCCCATTTCATTACATTATATGCGAAACCTTGACCTACATCGGACTTTAATTATATTAATTACGGAATAAAATACAGCAAATCAGCAGGAAAATGGGAATAATTAATGAAAACCGTCTGCCTACCTTCCAATGTCACTGATGTGTCTTGAGAATCATCCGAGGAATTTTTATCATTGTCTAGTTCCGTAACAGTAATATCTTTTTCTACTCTGGGCGATGTTATTTTGGGTGATCGCTGGCTATTTGCGATGATATCTGGAATATCATTGCCTGGTTCACGGCGTCGTAGAAGTTTCACCCCAGTTGGAACCATACCTGTTTTTCTGTGTGGTAAATCCTGTGAAAACAAGGTGCTAAATATTAACACAAGATCGTTGTGGCAAAAAAAAGATAAAGTATATTTTTCCATCTTAAGAATTTTTTTTAACTAATATTTCATTTAATTGTGTTAATATCCTACAGAGGCAATTAAAATAAACAAAAAATTTTAAAACAAGAGATTTTATAACCGTTATGCAACTGACTTTCTTTAGCTAACGAGTTTTAAGTTTAGAATCAAACTGAAAAGAAATACGTTTTAGATTTCTTATTGAATGTCATATAACGTCATAAACTGTCAACCAGGAATTGTGCTATTCTTTAAAGTACGATTTTAGCTGTTAAAATTGTTGCCAGGCAACGAGTATATTTCCACCCGCAGATTCTTGAAGACAGACAGCAAGAATGCTAAGGGTTTTTGCTTAGTCCAAGAAGCAGCAACACATCTAAAAAAATGTTCAGCAACTGAATGTCAACAAGGTTTTAATGACCGGAGAAAGTCAATTGAATGTCATATATAATAGGACCTGTGGAGTGACTACAAATTATCAGTGACATGGGCAATAACTCCAGCTAAAACTGATGCGCGACTGAGGCAATAAATGGATATGCAACTCTGAATTTCGATACGATAACTCCCTTTCGATAAGCCGAACAATCACAGCTATGTAATTAGAGTACGGATACGAAGGGATGTTTTCTATCGTGTTCACAAGCTCTTCTGGAAACGTAATACATCCATGTAACGGAAAGTCATAGAATGCTGAATACCCGTAACCTCTTTCGCGTTCACAATGTATTCGGTGGGGGGGGGGCTCCGAAACCGGTCATAGTCTTATCCATGACTACAATTCTTCACGATAAATGAAATTTGAAGAAGTCGCTGTCAACAACTATAACCCTTTATCGCATTCACAAGCTTTTCAGAAAAGGAGGGGTGAGGGTGTTCCGGTACAGATGACCGTTCGTTCTCTCGGTAATCCAATGTTTTGCACCAAATTTGAAAATAATCCAACAAATCCTGTTGACTCTATAGCGACCACAGGTTTTCGGAAGGGGTGGGGTTACTCCGGAACAAACAGTTGAATATCGATAGAGTTTGTTCTCTCCTGAAAACAATACTGCACCACAAGGTTTTTGGAAAAAGTAACTCCGGAGAGGACAGTCACGCAAAACGGATTTAACTAAGATAAACGTAGCTCCGATTAAATACAGTAATTCTTTATCCATAGAACTCCTGTGTTTATCTTACTGTGTTCAATTACTAAATGCTATTCAAACATTATAAAAGGTTCGTCCGCTGACGAACTCAAAGCTTCACCCCAAATTTGAAAAAAATCTTGAAATGAAATGAAATGAAATGAAATGGGGTTTAACGTCCTACTGTTTTGCTCCGAACTGGGCTAATGAAGACGGGCATACGCCATACAGTGTGCTATGAGGGAAATTTTGCCCGGACAGCGGCACTACGGCCTACTCTTATATCGAATTCCAACTGTCAAGGGATCTTTTACGTGCACGCCAATTTGTACACGGGACCTCGGTTTTTCGTCTCATCCGAATGACTAGACAGCTGTCCTTGTCAGGTCCTCCGTCCTGCATCACTGACAAGGGGAAACCACGTCGGAAAATCTGGATGAACTTTCTCGGCCAATGCAGGGATCGAACACCCGACCTCAAGAAAAAAATCTTGAAGCCTGCTCATTGATCCGACGGTTAATAGAACTGTAAACACAATATTATAGGAACGGTGTACGGACTGATAAAGGGGCATAAGACAGCGCATTCTGACGTAAAAGAAAACTCGAAATACTAGCGATTCTAACCAATAGTCAAGAATAATAGTAAATGAACTATCCAAATTCAACATAATACATTTTGGAAAGGAGTAAACAAAGATTCCAAGTTAAATATAAAACATGTCTTACATGGAAGACCAGGGATATTTTCGTTGGTTCCATTAAACGACTGTCCACTGCCGGGATTTTTCCCTTGACTCTTGCGTCGGCGTTGTAACGTCGTAATTTCTTCAAAAATAACTGGTATGTGGCGTTAGCTGCACTGGGAACATTTCCGGTACAAAAGCGAATGATTTCATTCATTCTGAAGCCAAGGTTGTGACACATATGTTTTAATAGATTGCTATCTAGTTCGTCTGTCCTCAGTTTATTTGGGCAAGGATGTCGTTCAAAGAACCCACTTTTACCTGCAATTAGAATTTGATATTCGTAAGTTATACATATTCCAGGGCGAGTAGAATATAACTATAAAATTACGGACACACACACTACTAACAGCGGGATCTAACCACGGACTTCCTGGGCCACCGACCGCAGGTCCATACGTACGCGCATAAAATTGTAAAATGTTGCTACACCCCTACTATAACGTCAAAACGGACGACATTTCTTCAATTTGAACCTCTATTTTCTACTTCCTTCTTTGAGGGAATATTGAATTTTAAAACAAAATTGATTCAGTCTCTTTGTCTATACCCAGTCTGTTCCAGTGTTCCTTTTATTGATGGCTATCCCAAATGAATGGCAAGTTGATGTATATATTATAATAATTGGTGATTAATTGACAACCAAACTGATGTAGATATTATAATAATTAGTTATTAATTTTGGTTTCATTAATACAATAATAATATAAAGATAGCGGACATTATGTTCATTTAACTATTGCTTGTATTACAGTTGTATGCAAATAGACCTTTCTGTGAAAGCGTGGATGCGCGATATAGAAAACACTCATCAAAGTAATTATCATAAAATGGATAAGAAATTAGATGAAAGAAATATAATACACTCAACTTAAAAACATGAACCAGGAAAACAGATAATAAACAAGTCGACAGTGAGGCTGACGCTCCGGGTCTTAAACCCAAAATAAATAGATAACAAATATTAATCAATTACACATTTATTTTTTTAAAAAGCAAATAGCAATAAATCTGCTTATTTAAGTAGAACATCCCCATCACTCTCCCTCAGTTAGAATGAAAGTTATTGTGTCAAAAAACATCGACCAATTAAATGGAAACTTTTAATCATCAGTCAAGTCATTCACTTAAAGAACGTTGTTTAAAGGAGCTAAATCGCTAACATTTGGGACCTAGAAATTGACAAAAGTGGGTCGCAACGCATATAATACTGCAGTATGAATGTATATAAACTGATTTACATTCAATGGTTTCAAATCAGTTATGTTCGGCGAAATAAGCCAGCAGTCTCAAGCGAGTGCAAATTTCTAGCGTCTGGTTATTCCAGTCTACATATGCCGTTTGATTTGGTGCAATGTGTCTAGCCTCGTCCCTCGAGTCTCTTTATACAACTGGGGCTGAAGCGCATTATGGTACACGATTCGTGTACCAATGGTAAAATGTTTATTTTGTCTTAAATATTGGATATCAAAAGCCCATCTTTTTCCGGTAAGATCACAACATGAATGTTGATTTAATTTGACAAATAAATCGTGTTTTCAATGTTGAAGATTTTGGATGATATTGAGTTAGAGACTTAGCTACTTTAAATATTATGTGAATGTTTTAAATGTGGTCTGAATCCAATAATAACGTCTGAGAGTTTTCTCTCTTTTATAGACTCTATCATCTAATGATGTTTTATGTAGTAAGAAAAACGGGAAGGTAGGAGCACGTTGTTTATGCGCGTCAATTAAAAGCAGAGTTTTTTTTTTTCAACGCCTTGACCAATCAAATCGCTTATTGTAGGTTAGGTTTAAGCATTGGGTCTAGGTCTAGGGTTAGTTGGGATTAGCTCTAGCCCTGTTTATATCTCGTGACCTATGACGAAAATTGAGCTGGCCTTATCATTTAGCACTAACCTCAACTAAGCTTCGTAATTCTCACTTACTTAGAATCAAAGTTATCGTGTCCCAAAGCACCGACAGCGACCTTGCTTATCTCTGCTTAGCCGAAGCAGAAAATGTACATTCGTCTAATAAACACCAAGTTTGAACATTGTAGCAAAATTAGAAGTAGAGTAATTATGTCCCAAAAAGTGTGACTGACAGACAGACAAGCGGACGTACAGACAGACAGACGGACGGACGCAGCCATTTGAATTGAAGATTCCCCTGCTTTCTTCGAAATAGAAAAGGAAAAACCCTGTAAAATATTTTGTTGATAAATGGACCGACTTATAATACTACAGCACATATCTATTTACAGAACATAAAAAGACTATATTGACGCCGAGGAAAAAAATATTTTTTTATATATATAAATCGTGTCGATAATCGCGCTTCTATAAGCATGCATTAAATACAGTATTTAAATTAAAGACCGGTGCCTAGAGTGTTTCCATATTAAATAATTTATTTAATGTTAGTTCAATACGGGCACTCCTGTGCCTGCTTGTAATCCCCTGCGATACTGATTTCAAATGTCTTACCATACTTTTAAGTACAACAATACCACGACGTAATGAATGGAACCATCATTAATTTTTGCCATCAGGGAAAAAAAATCGACACGACACATCCGACGTTATATCAGGTGTCTTACCTTCTGACAACCAGACGTGTTTCATTGCGTCTGTGATAGTTATTCTTTTGGCAGGATCCGGGGTTAACAACTTTCTCAACAAATCTCTACATTCTATACAAAAAAAATATATAAAAAATCACGATTATTATAAAGTCTTCCACAACCTCATATATGTGTCCTAATAAAAGTTGAACCTACTTGGCCATCTCGATCCCAGAGATAAATTTACCCTTTGTTTATCTCTGGGAAAACTCGCCGTCCATACGTCGGCCATTTTGAATGCCACGTGATATCCTTCTCCGTCGCTTCACAAAGATCCAAGATGGCGGCTCAAACTCGCGTTCTTCGGAAATCTTACGTATTTAGACCAATCACTCACATTGTGCGCTAACAATAGTTCCCGGTAAATCATCAAATCGGTTGTTTTCGAAAGAACTTACATTAATATGTAACTGATGCAACAAACCGATGCATAATCCAATTGGAAGCATTTCATTCTAACAAATCCTGTCAATCAGTAGGCACTAGGGCGGAGCTTAGGAACCGATTTCACGATGAATAATGACTGGCGAGTTTTACCATAGATAAAGGAAGGGTAAAGTTATCTCTTGAATCGAGATTGCCTACTTGGCTGAATGTTACATCTCTAATGACAAATTCCTTCAAAACACTTGATACTATTCATTGGCTTATTTATCGATGAAGGCCTTAAGAAATACCTTCTTTGGCGTGCGCGTAAAATAGCCCTTGACACCTGGAATTCGAAATTAAGTGTAGGTCGTAGTGCCGCTGTATGGGCAAAATTTTCACCATAGCACACTGCATGCACATATGGCGTGGATGTCCGTCTTCATTAATCCAGATAGCGCAGAAACGTAGCCCAGTAGGGCCCATTTCATACCATTTCTTTATGCGTCGGACTGTACAAATTTGAAAACTAACTGAGTAAATTATAGTCTTCGTTGTCTTGATGTTTGTATATTTTCTGGCCGTGAAGCGCCCCGATTATTAACGATACATTATTCAAGAGCTACACTTGCCTATTGCAAGGTTATTCTTTAGGCCTTAAATGTTATTTTATTTATTAATAAGACATTTATTAACATAAGACCATAATCAACTATCGATGCCATCGGATACTCGAGATTTTAACTTGATTTATTAGAACGGTTCGGCTAAGCCTCGAATATACAAGAACCGTGGTTACGATAATACACAATCAATTCACACATCTTGTCAAAACTAAAAAACAATAATAATTTGGTTCAAAATAAAGTAATTTGAATGAAATTTTCAATATATTCATTTTGAATTATCTATTTTTGATCTATTATAGCAAGAAGGGTTAGCTCTTTATCTAAATCTTACATAATAGAACCTTAACGATGTTAAGCAGACTTGTTTGTGCAATCAGTATACAGACTGAAAGGATTATTTTACATATTTTTAAATTTTAAGAATGTTTGCCTATAATATTTGCAAATATTAAATCTGCAAACTTCGTTACAATTTGGTTGTGCTATTGCCATTAAGCTAAAGAATTTATCGAGAAAGGAATATTTAGATTTTTTAAAATTTCAATATGAGTATAGTTTCAACTTACCGTGGGTAAGATTATCAGGTGTGGGATTTATCTGTCCTATAATCATCTTATTATGTAAAGCTTTTATATTAAACGGTTCAACCGTAAATGGTAAACTTCCAGTCAGCATGGCAAACATATTTACACCACTAGAAAATATCAACAAAAGACATTAATTATAAGCTAAACTTAATCTTAATAATTGACGTCTGAAAATAATTTTTTATATCAAAATTAAGTACAAAGAATATGAGACTAAAATGTGGAAAAAATTTTAATTACGATATCTGACTTAATTGTATTGCACCGAATTAATTACGTTCGTTACCCATGCATTCGTCTTATTCCTGTACAGTTTTAATATTGCTCAAGTTCCCTTGATTCTCAAAGTAAACCACACCTGGAGATCATATTTCGGTTGACAATTATTTATTAATACTCACGAACATAATTGCTTCAATTATTATATATTTTTGATGCGTTGTATAGTCTATGCTGGCTGGGCCATCCAAAGGTCATTGAGCATCAGACAATAAAATTAATTGAATAACAATACTCGTGCTCTTTTGAGCTTCAGGTTGAGCATTTATAATAATATAAGGGAGAGAGTGAGAGAAATGGGGTTTAACGTCCACTGAACACAAACTAGGTCATTCTGGGACTAACATAGTCTTTAGTAGTGGGAGGAAACCGGGGGACCCGGAGAAAACCCACGAGGTTGGACAGGCGACCCTACTCCTTGTCACGTACAACCGAGGAATCGAAACCACGCCAGTTGGCTCATGACAAACCTCATGATACAACGCCCGCGCTAACCATTCGGCCATCAAACCCCCCTATAATATTAGAGCAATGAATGAAAAATATGTACAACTTAAATACAAGAACCATTACTTACCACATAAAACAGATAATAAATACAAAATATATTTATAAATGACAGAAATAAATATAAAAATGAAAAGAAAAAGAATAACCCTGTAAAATACTTAGTTGATAAATGGACCGACTTATAATACTACAGCACATATTTACAGAATATAAAAAAGACTATACTAACGTTACCTTCAGGTGTGTATATTTAAAAACCCAACAATTTGAAAGATCTATAGCATAATAAAATAAATAACCAAAGTATGACACAATTCCAAAGGATGCAGTTTCAATCAGTTACAAACCATGCATAAAGCATTCTTAATCCATCCATTCGAGAAACAGACTGTTTATTTCAAGTAATTTGTGAGATGTAAGAAACATCTATGGTGACTATTATACAATTTCGCTTGTGGACAGTCTTTAACAAAATATAGCAAATGGTGCTTTTGCGTGTGGTAGCAAAAATGTGATGTTAGGTTCAAGCAAATCCTTGTTTTGCACAATATTTTAGTTAAAATTCCACCTATTTAAAAAAATCAACCATTGATTTTGTTTTCATTTTAAAAGAAAATGGAAATACCATAAGCTATTACGTCAAATATTTTCATAAAAAACGTGGTTTGGTTATACTCTTTCAGCTATGAACCAGCCACCTACCATGGCGTCATCTCCGCCAACTCGGATTTGTGAATATTGTCCCCCTCCCCTCCTCCCCCAACAAAAATCACTTCCTAGCGCCTCTCTAGTCAGTTACCAGAGGGTGTTAATCGACAGCTGTAGCATTAAATAATGTTTAAATAATGGATCTAATAAAGTTTGAAAGAAGGAAGTTATTCGAGATGGTATTAACCTATACAGTTGGTATTTAGATATTGAGCAATATCATCTGTTTGGTAAATGGGCCAATTATTACGGGGGGACATTTATTATCATCAACGTATTACCTGTAAAGAAATTTATTTCTTTCTTCCTTGTTGAATTTGCAAGATTTCGCAATTCATCTCTCAAAAGACTCTTGTATTTTTTTTTAGGGAAAATGAATTACATGTGTTTGTTGCATTCACACAAAAAGATGTCTTAGTTAATATTAACTAATATTCATTCTTTATATAATGACCACGTGTGCAACTGTATAATGTTCCTGTTGCTATGAAGGTAACTTTATCACACACCCCAGGAAATTATAGAGACAGGATTCAGTCGCACCGATACTCGATCAATCCCAAGAAAAAAACGTATGGTAGCTGTTTTATACGCTGACAACAGCAATATATTAACGACCTTCTACAACCATAGGGCTTCAGTCACCAACTTCTAATAAAATGAATTTGTCTTTTAATTTGCCAAGAAGTATATAAGAAAGATAATCTCTTGAACATGAATAAATAGATAGGTTTAGAGAGATTTCTTGCATGCCAAGGTCGTAGTTAAATCAAAGGCGTGATATGTAGATTATGTAAGTCATTCTAAAAAGGGAAACTAATCCGTTTGATCTTTCAATAACTTTGCTAATCAATTAAATACATCTTGTAAACTGTCCTCAAAATGCACGTTTAAGTTGGATTCTTCATTGTTAAGCAGATTAAGTAAAGTATCCAATGTACGACAAACGAAAGGATCACGGATGACGCAGATGAAGAACTTCAAAACATAGGCATTGAAAACATTAAAAAAAATCTAATCCACCATAGACACTAGGGGAATATTTGGCAAAAGAGCAACCACGAAATGCTCTTAAGAAAAGGCATGACACAGTTTGCACGATTCACAGCATCGTTTTCCTCCGATAGGAAACCTAATATACTTTAATGGGTATTATAGACAGGTGGGAGGCTGTAGATGTTTTAAACCTAAAGCTTAAACAGACATGGATTTGTCAATACACAGTTACACCATGCGATTGTAGCAAAAACCTGAGACAAGTGGTATTGGCTTGGTCAATGGGGAGATATGAAAGTTTTGATTGATATTTTTACTACGATTTTAGTGGATATTCACACAAAATCTCTGATTTTCGGTAATTGAGAATTTAAGCTTATATTTAATAAGATTTTTTTTTAAAGTAATTAACTTTATTAGTAACATATATATCACTAGTAGCGTAAAGGGCTGTGAAAATTGAAAATATTCGAGTAGCAGTTTGGCCACACGTCAACAGCATGTCAAATCGAAAAGTTGGTGAAAGGCCATTTCAAACACGATTAATAAATATATTTACAAGAGAAGGCCACTTTAAAACTGTGATCCGTATATGATGGATCTGCTTTAGTTAAAGGGACGTTAGGTAAGATTAGATTGCTATAATAATTAAAGCATAGATAATGAAAACAGAATAATATGCTGAAAATTTCAGTCAAGTTGCTTCACTCTGAACTGAGATATTAACGATTCAATTTTTGGTTGGCCTCGAACGGCATTACTATCTTTGATTAGTATTTCTTTCTTCCTTGTTGAATTTGCAAGATTTCGCAATTCATCTCTCAAAAGACCCTTGTATTTTTTAGGGAAAATGAATTACATGTGTTTGTTGCATTCACAAAAAAATGTCTTGGTTAATATTAACTAATATTCATTCTTTATATAATGACCACGTGTGCATATCTCGATTATCCTTTTTTACGTTAAATTATCCATCACAAAATGCATTCAAATCCACTAAATATTGCCGGCTAACGATGGCATCGAAAGTTTATTATGGTCTGGATAAGTTATAATGTCTAATTAATAATTTAAAGAAATACCTGTAATAGGAGGGCAGATTTAGCTCTTGCATAATGTATGTTTAATGACGTACTAAAATCAAGTTTGAAGTAGACTGAAGACATAATCTTATAAGTAATTGCTGCATGCGAAATACTTGAATTCGAAAATAGTAATTTTTGCAATCAATCATGAAACGCTTATATTTAAAAAAAAATAAATGGCTAAAATATAACATAAAAAATTCGATTTAGCATGAATTGCGTTTAAAGGGATGTCTTATAGTTTAAATAAATTAGAATTGAAATGTTAAAAAATGTTGTTAATCTGTCAAAGTTTTACTTCCGAACGCTGATGAAAAACAGATATTACCTCAATATAGAGGACGCGAAGTCTTAAATCAAAATGATTAAACATGTAAAAAGAAATTGATAAATACTCGTATACTGCTAATTCGATTCATTACCACTGTAAGGATGGTGACAATGATAAAGCACTCTTCTTAATGGCGACAAAGATAAAACATTAAGGGTATAAAATACTGTTATTTGTTTGTTTTATGTATTCCTTTTTGTTGTGTTCTGTTCACAGCTGATTGAAACAACCAGAAGGCTGTGTCCTTAAAGGGAACTCTTGTTTGTTTCATTGGCATGTAGGAGCTAGGGCAATTTATCATGAATGTTCCGATTTGACGCATGGTGGGTGTATATAAAACGACAAATCAGGAAGTTCTAATGGTAACGAAATAGACCCAAAGAAAATGAAATAGTCACGAGAAAGGACTGTATATAAAATCAATTCATGGGAAACAACTCTAAATCGTATGCAGACTAATAAAGAAAGAAAACTGCGGGGTCGCATTTGAGAGAGAGAGAGAGAGAGAGATGGGTTTAACGTCCACTCAACACAAACTAGGTCATTTCGGTAACACATGTTTCAATTTTATTTCAATAATTCGCTTGCGCGCAGGGGTCTTTTAGCTGTGGGAGGCAACCGAAGTACCCGGAGAAAACCCACGTGGTTGGATAGGCGACCCTATACCGGGGATTTGAAACCACGTCAGTTGACTCAATGGCAGACCTTATGATACAGCGCGCACATGCTAACCATTCGGCCATCCAACCCCCGGGTCGTATTTAATGTTGAGTCAAAAAATTGTAAGTCATGTCGAGACTGACAAAAGTGATATATTTTTACTTCATTAAATGCCTTGTGCGCAGAGGTCTTGGCAGTGGACATGGGTCTTATCAGTGCCTCAGTGGACAAGAATTACCTCTACTCTGTACAACTTACAGTGTTGGATCAAAACCCTGTCCCACCATCTCCCAGTCAGTACGTGTATGTATTTCTATCACTATTACTCTACGTTATCAATAAGAAAGGATAATATCTGAAAACCATAAATAATAGTCTAGCGTGTCTGTAAAACATTTGCTATACATGCCTAGACTTGGCAGTATAAATTAATTCACTGTCTAATGAATCACTGAAAATAAATGGCCTGTATAATTTATATTTTATTCCGGGATACAAGACATCACTTATAAGACATTTTCTTATGAATTAATTAGTATTTATTTTAAATGTGGGCTAATTAATTTAAGACCCCCCAATCCCTTCATTTAAGAAATTTATGGAGGATTTCGTACCCCCCCCCCACCCCTCAATTGACAATACTAAATGTCGGTAAAATTAAATTAAAGATCATTATTGACATTTTTGTGAAAGTAAAACTGTCCCTTTAAAATATTAAATTACGCCGAATAAAATTGATCTCGGGAAGTATTAATTTTATCTTCAAATCTCTACTGTTGTAGTTTCCAAATGAGGATATTGTCGGAAAGTACGAACATTGGTTATCGACTGTACTATCAATTGTTGTAAAGTTTGGATTGCTGTGGAACAAGTTATGTGGTGTGTTTGTAAAGGGGGAACAAATATCCATGATGAAGAGAATACTATGTGATGAATGACGATCAAAGCTGTATTGTCCGAGAATGCGAATAACATGGCTCTCTTCTTTTTAAACAAAGATTAACAGAGACAAATTTTGTTTCCAATTTAGAACTAAGGACACGATCAAATGTATTGTAAATAATGTAAAGAGATTTATTTTTAAAAAAATAACACCAGAGAACAAATTTTGAAAACGATTAACAGGGGTTAAAAATATGCTCTATCCTTCAGTTTTGTGATGAGTAATCAAATAACAGGCTTTGGAACACACTAAAGCAAGAGATAAGTACACGCAATTATTGAACGCTACGAGTCAATACAATTCAGCGAAAAAATACGCTTTTCAAAAAAAAAAAAAAAAAAAAAAAAATCCAGAACGTCAAAAATGTCACCCCGGCATGTAATAATTTGTAAATATATAATTGCAGTCTCACCACGTGACTTGCTTTCGCCTCTTTTTTTCTCGAGAGAAAATAACTACAAATATATTTTCGGTACAAAAATGGCAGTGAGCCAACGAATAAATATTAAAAGCTCGCAAATTAAACATTAAAAAACAAAACTATACCACTGAGTGAACATTTCGGAAAGGCAAATTTGATGTGCTCCCCTTGTTGAAAAAAAGATCAATTCTATGGAAAGCTAAAGAAGCCATATTTATAGATACAGATTTGTTTTGTTTTTTTGTCCATAATTCAAAATTAACCCCTCGAGACTCATACCCTGTAAAATCATAAATATGTGGCATAAAAAATTACTTTTGGCTGATACATGTTATGATTTTACTGGACATGGGCGCATTTTTACATGAATTTATTTGCAACAGCTTATTGATATAACACATACATGTGACTTATACATAGCGACATAACACACCATGCTAAACTGTGGTTGTATGATTCCTTACTACAAATAGACGTTTCAAGTAATCTCCGTGAATAATATAATATAAGCTTCCATCAGTTCATCTTGGCTATCAGAAATATTGATTTCTAAGAAGAAAGTGCGAATAATGTAGGGACATTTTTAAATCAATGCAATAGATAACGTTTATGTAGTGCAATATTACTCTATAACGGTAAATCACGTGCGTATTACATGTATAGGACGATCGATCCTCATCTTTATATCAACCAATGAAGGTGTGAAGCAATATATTTCCATTTGTTTTAATAGAATTGGTTTAAGATTGCTTATAGAATTTTACTAAACAGTCTCACCATGCAATCTCTGTCTTTAAAAAGATTTAGGTTAAAGATCAGCAGTCTACCGTTACGTCTATTTTAATACATCGTATCCAGAAACGGCCTTGAGCATTATTCCGTTGATAATCAAAATGGATTACAGTTTGTGCTGAAGTACATGTAGAGTAAATGCACACAATAATTTTTCATAATTTCCAATAGCGCCCCGAGACATTAGTCGAACTTCTTCTATACATGGTTGTTTGTGTACCTACTGATTAATCATAATCTTGTCGATATCATATAACTAAAAAATATTCATTTGTCCTCCAGAAACAGGAAAAAAAAAGAAAACATACCAGCTCAACTCAAGGTGTTTAAACATCCTATGACTTAAAATACCTTAAAATCTCGAGCTACAACAACTTGACCAAAACCCACATGGAAGAAGAGAATCAAATAAAGTTAGTTAAATGATAAAACAACATTAATATCTGAAGAATATTCATTACATCCGTTATTTTGTGAAAATAATGTGCACAAAATATAAACACATATTGGACAACTTTCTAACTGTATTGGTGAATTTGATGATGGAGAAATAACATGTCCAAAGTGATGGAAACAATGATTACACAAAGAAGTGATGGAAATAGGAAAGATCAAAAGGTCGCAGAAAATAGGAAATAACTTACATGCTCCAAACGTCAACTTGGGGCCCATACTTTTGATGACTTAATAACTCTGGTGCTGCATATGCTGGACTTCCACATTGGGTAACGCAAAATTCTTGAGGATGAATTGTTCCGTCTGTGCCCATTGAAACTTTGATAGAATTGCTCAATCCAAAATCTAAAATTAAGTAATTTTATTTTACCACATTTATATATTTTATGATTTCTCGCTGTCCAGGTAAAATTTCCCTCATAGCACACTGCATAGCGTATGCCTGCCTTCATTAGAATCGGTGCAGAAAAGTAAAGTTCGACACACAACCCCATAACATTGCATTGATGATTTCTGAAAGATGATGGTCATTATGACTAAAATCTTTTTGTTAATTATAGGTCATAAAGCTGATTAATTTGTTTCTCTGGCCAAAAACATTAATTACTAGCGGATGACCCAGCGATGCACGAGTTGTGGTGGGTTGAGCCCGTAGCTCCGAAACCGGAAGCGGTAGGCCAACGCCACCTAGCCGATGTTACTCCCTGGTCCGAGCTACTATACACCAAGCCCTATTGTAGCCGCTAAACCTGAACAGACAGCCAAACAGACAGTCAAACGACAGTCACAAATATTAGTATAGATTTAGGTTTACGAACGCCTCATAAACCTATTTGATCATAAGTAATTTGGTCATAAATTTATCAGTTTTGATAGACCAATTACATGGCGGATATCACACAGTTATTTATGCAGACGATGAAACTTTTGTTTTGTCTAGTTGGTCAATTATGTTTTCTATGTTGGAAGATGCCAAACAGCCTGTGGACATCTTATTGTGAAAATACAATGATTTGTCATATGGTAATGGACTTGGTTGTAAAGATAAAAGTCATTGAAGCATGATCAATCTAGATAATCGATTCTAGCACACACGAATCGATTACTGTTAGAATCATAGTACGGTATTTTGTGCACCGATGTCTCCAATAGACGTGATCTCCTCTGTTTTTAGTAACATCGAAATGTTATTATCGGCAATAGTATGATAAGTTGTTAGATATTGGATCGGGTATAACTTGAAACATACTTCCGGTGGTCAAATCGAACATTAATATCTTAAAGTGAAATGGAACCGTAAATGTATAAAATAATTATAATTCCCAGTTATAAATAAATGTATACATACCGATAATCTTAATATCTTTATTGGAATCTAACAAAAGATTTTCTATCTTCAAATCTCTGAAAAAACAGATTGTTTAATTCTTATTAATGGCCCTTGTTTCAATCATTGTTTATCTTAGTACAGAATGGTTGATGTAAAAAATAGCAAAACATTACCGATGTGAGACAAAATTAAAGGGAGCAATTCCCCAAATACACCCTGGCTCATATACGAGCAATCGCCAAAAATGTTTTCAAAGTTGAACATGAGAAAGTTGAAATTTCAGAGAAAATGTGCGATGATATGTAAGCTTCTCATCACAACTAATCTCTATTGTGCTCCGATATCTATATAGACTTAACGACCATTGAAATTATTATTATTATTACATATTTCTATAGCGCACAACTGCCACATAAAGAGATGGTATGAGGGAAATTTTTCCAGTGGCGCTAAGCCCTACTCTTATTTCAAATTCCAATTGTCAAGCGTTCTTTTACGTGCAAGCCAATGTGTACACGGGACCTTCGGTTTTTCGTCTCATCCGAACGACTACACATTGTCCCTTGCCAGGCCCTCCATCCTACATCACTGACAAGGGGAAACCACGATGGAAAATCCCGATGAACTTTCTCGACCAACGCAGGGATCGAACACGGAACCTCCAGGGTAGCGAGCCATCGTGGTCCCCCAAAAAGAGGTAATAAAGATCATACTTGATAATTATATAAAGAAAAAATATTAATCAGATAAAATTACATTTGATTAAAAACTAGAACTCTGAAAGAGTACTGGCGTGTTTCGGTACATCAGGTCACGTCAGGTCATGCCTTGCCAGGTCAGCAAGCAAGTTACACCATGAACTATTGCGTATAGTGACATCCAATACCTATGGTTATTGTTGTCCTATCCGTAAAACTATTCCGGTTTGTCAAAATTGATCCAATTTATATTTTATAAATAGTTCCACGGAGGTCAACAATATCTACTTTGACAGAATGTTTGCACCATATACAGTTGTGGCTGCAAACTGACTAAATTAATCCGTTTCGACCGAACGTCCGAAACACGTAATTACAGAAACAATACGTGTTTCGACCGTAATTAAAATAGCTCTGTATAATCTACCTATAAAGGATCATTGGGTCCAGTTTATTGACAGCTACAGTAGATATTTCGATACAGATCAGACGGCATCACTATTTAGCAGTTGTTTGTTTTCTTAATTTTACCAAGATAATTCAATTCAAAGTAATCAAAGCGGAGTTATTTTTTAAAACAACTTTGGTACTTTTATAAATAATTAATGGTCTATTTCAGAGTGTACTGGGTTGCTGCTATGCACCGTTCACGGAAAGATAATGTTTACGTCAACATGCTATTCCGGCCTCTGAGGTAGTATAAGTAATTTATAAGTTAATCGTCGACTTTTATCAATAATTGCTGCACGTGTATATAAATAATAAATATAGATCAGACGTATATATCACGAATCTTACACTAGGCTATGTCAACTGTTCGTGTTTATAACCATGTTTGGCTTTAATTGCCGCCATCATTAAATATACAAATAATTAGTACAGCAGTCTATGCGATCTGCAAATAAAAGTGTAGCAGTTAGTGCCAGTTAACAGATGGGAAAACTGTCAAAACTGTACACATTAAATCCCTGCATACTTGATGTTTCGTTGCAATTAGAGTCATCGGGATACTTGCATACAATGTGTACATGAGATTTGTGGAGATGTTTTTTGTTTTGTTTTATATTTTTTTCGTTATATAAGAATGACTACACACAGCCAACTTGGCTACAGACAGATGTTAACACTGACAAGTGGGAACCGGGCATGTAAACCCCCAGAAGAGTATCTTGGACTACAAAGTTCAGTGGGGATGAGCCTTTTTTTATCCACAAGTGTTAAAATAAAAGTAACTTCATGAGACTGCAAGATTTCAACTTTTCGCTAAAATATCAAATTTCCCACGGCTTAATTCAGGCTAATATGTACTCAGATTGATTACTCTACATTTAATTAAGAAAACAATGTGAAAATATCAATAGTAGATAATCTCCCAGCTTTGATTCACTGGGATTAAAACAGGTCTATTAATTAGATTTGGCAAAACATAAAGGTGGCGGTGTGTTTGTTTTACATAGGGGGCAGCAATGAGAAAATTAATGCGAGTTGCCAGCGAGATTAATAAGATTAATTAGTCTTTGCAACTGCCTGTGTTCCAGGTCCCGTATATACCTTTGCATATATACATTGCTGTCCGATCAAAATTTCCCTCGTGGCACACTGCCCGTCTCCATTAACCCGGTTGATGCAGAAAACTAGGACGTTAACCCCCATTTCGTGCATTCATTATACTAGAGGGGTGTCTTCAATGCTTACCTGTGTAAAATGCCTAATCTGTGTAAATAATCTACAGCCGAAACAATTTGGCGAACGTATTTTTTGCCCTCTTTCTCGTCTAGTTTCTTTTTCTTACAAATATAATCCATGAAGTCGCCACCCTGACATAATTCAGTCACCAAATAATAACTGTTCTCTGTTTCCATGATTTCCAACAATTTCACGACATTAGGGTGACGAACCATTTGAAGTAGCTTTCCTTCTCGTCTTAAATTTTTTCTCACGTACGAGTCGGCTTTAGCTCGCTTCTTGTCAATAACTTTGATGGCAACCTGTAAAATATATAAGATTTAAACTTAAATGAGAAAGGAGCTAGAAAAGATAGATAGAACAACTGGATAAACAAAACATTTAAAACGTGCCCAGAACATAAATTCACTAACCGTGTAATGTTTTGTTAACCATATTTCCCTTTTATTCTTTATTGCATCCGTAGTCGCAAGTATTTGGTTGGTATCTCATCTGGAATGATGTCTACCACAACAGCGACATAAAGATTTACAGACAAAACCATGTTGTTTTAAATATTTCATTCTCGTGTTTGTTTTTAAGACAGCTAATCCCCAGCTTTTATGTAGAAATGCTTTTGGTTAGTATTGTTCTATATTTTTTATTTTGGAAAACCACAGCCTCTCTCTCTCTCTCTCTCTCTCTCTCCAACTCTGACTATGCTGATAGTTAGGGTATTTCTGATCTCGGCTAGTTGGTCAGTTATAAACAACATGCATAAACTACATGTATATAATCTGCAATACACGCTCACATTTGCCAAGGATAGTCTGCGATGCTGATTGGGAAATTGTGTAGATAGTACCAAAAGACAAGATTCATACGTGAAATGTACAAATTGGCATGCAATTAAAAGACCATGCGACAGTTGGAGCTCGAAGATGAGTAAAAGGCGGCAATATCACTGTGTGGGTAAAATTCCCCGATTTGCATAACCATAGAAATGACCAAACAACCGAGTTTTTAGAGATTTTAAACCACTTCCCATTCCGCTAGTTTATAAGAGTACTATTATTATACAGAATTAGCTGTTTATTCCTGTATGATATTGGCTACAGTACTACTGGTTGCAATTTTGTGTAATTACAAACGATTTGCGGCATATTTTAGCAAACAGTGAACCTATAAAAACTGGTAGATACTATGGATTACTGATAAGATTTTGATTAAGTGAATAATAATCTCGACCATGATTTGTTATTATCAACACATTATCATCATAATATAGTTTGTGTATGGTGGCCATCGAATATAAAAAAAAAACGAAACGAAACACAGATTGGAATGTGGAGGCCACCGAAAGTAAATAAAAAGAAACGAAATATAGATTTGTATTTAATCAGATTGGTGTCAAAACAGCAATACACCATGGGTTTTCTCAACATTGCCTTTGTATATGGACTTTGTATTTGGAAAGAAGACAAATTATCATCTCATAAATACACCATGGGTTTTCTCAACATTGCCTTTGTATATGGACTTAAAATTTGGAAAGAAGACAAATTATCATCTCATAAAACAAATCTAGTGAAACATCCAATTTCATATTTGACCTAGACGAAAGAGATAATGTCATTTTTAAGACCGATGTAAAAGTACAACGAATATTTATTAGTGAAGTTATATACACACATTACTTAAATTATATATTTAAAAATCGAAGAGAAAAAAACCCCAAACATAATAAGAAATGAAACAAATGGTAGACAATGAACAATTTTAATACGAAAGTTATACAATAAAACCTATCCGAGCTTCCCAATTTTGAATTCAACTTGATGGGTGCGGCATCGAATTTTTTTTCTGTGGTCAATATGCTGCAACTGTTAAATAAATGGCTGATTTGAATGAGTGTGTTCTGTTGTCCAGGGAGACGAAATCATGAAAGAAATCAGTTTGATAACTTATCAATTGCATCCTTTCCTGTCTTTAAATATTTTTCAAGGTGTCTTTTATCTGTAACAGTTTACCAACTCGCTTTTCAATTACCTTTCACAGTCTTCCCACGACAGAGCTCAACTAAAAGCCGATATGTAGGCCGTATCTTCTTACAAAAAAAACAGCAGATGACATTGCATTTGACATGAACTTTTGTGAAACTAATGTCAGTCGCATCAACGTGTTTTCAACTCAAATTCGATGTTAAAGCAACGAATCTGTCACGTTCCTTGCAAATGTCAATACTGTAATAAAGTTCACAGTGGCTACACCTGCATTTAGTATGGTACGTGGTTAATTTATCTCACCACACCTAGAAAGGATGTTTAGACTGTGTTTGATGTTGGTGTTGCATCATGAGACGACCCTAACTCTTCCGTTAAAACAATCGCCAATCTAACCAACCGTCTTCTTAATTTACGTATTCTATTATTAGAGTCAAGACAGTAGCGCAGTCTAGTACGAAGATATCTTACAGTAAACTGTTAAATCTGAAATACGGCGGATTTCGTTTAGCAGTACATTTAAAACGTGGCTTATCAAGACGTAAAGATTTAAAAGAAGTTGGCAATCTTCCTTTCAGCTTTTTAAAATACTTATATGACCTCCAGAAAGGGAAGTGCTGTAAAGCCTATTTGCTTGTTTACAGCCACTCCGGTGGTTCATAACAACATATATGGTAATATTCGGAATGTTTCCAAAACCATTCCAATAAAAAGATTTTAGGATAATTAGAGCCATCAATTGTAAAGATGAAGAATCACTCTCATCAAGAAAATAAATGTAATTAATTTTTAATAACATCACAATAAAAACAAAAACAAAAAAATGGGCTGTGCTAATTACCAAAATTTCGAGTAAACACTTTGCATGAATCGAAAATTGACCATTTTAACCATTAATATCTCAGCCATGGCTTGACTGTTTTGTCTCAAATTTAGAAAATACAATTTAATTTGAACCCCACCCCACCAATGTGTTTAATTAAATCACATCGAATCAAGACCCATACCGAGCTAAATTCACACCCATTCCAATAAAAAGATTTTAAGATAATTAGAGCCATCAATTGTAAAGATGAAGAATCACTCTCATCAAGAAAATAAATGTAATTAATTTTTAATAACATCACAATAAAAACAAAAACAAAAAAATGGGCTGTGCTAATTACCAAAATTTCGAGTAAACACTTTGCATGACTCGAAAATTGACCATTTTAACCATTAATATCTCAGCCATGGCTTGAATGTTTTGTCTCAAATTTAGAAAATACAATTTAATTTGAACCCCACCCCACCAATGTGTTTAATTAAATCACATCGAATCAAGACCCATACCGAGCTAAATTCACACCCAAAAGTTCTGAAAATACTGATGATTTTATACTGGAATGCAAGAGTATTAGATTTTCTTGGCAGTGTAAGCATAATTTACCTCGTATACGACACCCGCGACTTTCGTGAGATATTCGAGGCAGTACACACATACCTTGCCCATTACAAGTTATTGGCAAATAGCTTCGTTTCGGATATTATGGCGGTATAAATTGTACATGAGTGACCTAATAAATTATACAAAATGGTGTTTGTGTACAGAAATTGATAGACCGCAATAAAAAAATTAAAATCATTTCAATATAATGTCAAACATAAATGTTTTTGTTTTGGAGAAGTAAGTATATCATCGATCTATTAGTTTAAGTTACATACTGTTGTGTGTTTTTATTCAAACATTCAGCATTTTTAAAAACAAAAACTTAAGCAACTTCATAATCATCATAAAGTCTCGATATCATACTTAAGCAAAAAATTAGAAACTAGAAAAATAAATTCTTTGTTTGGTCGAAGAAGAAATGTGAAATATTTTACCTTTTCTCCTGTAGGTACGTGTAGAGCTTCTTTAACTTTAGCAAATGATCCTTCTCCAAGAGTTTTACCCAGAAGATAATTTCCAACTCGTTTTGTATGTGAAAATGTTTTGATGGCATCTTTGGGTGGCTGGGCTACTTTAGCTGGTAGAAACTGTGTAGTAGGTGGTAACACCTCGGTATATCCAAGCTCCTTCATAATCTTAAAGGATTCAGGAAATTAGATCCTGAAATTAACAAGAATAAATGGATGAATGGGTGATGATTTCAAATGAATTTCCAGTATACGTCTTGGTGTCCACAATATCCGTTATAATGTGATCGAACGTCATGGTGCGGAGTTATACTGGCCATAAAGTAATTAATCGAGAAGAAACATATTTTAGTTCTAATTACGGTAATTTTGATCGACAGCCCCAACAACAACCTCCTAACATTCAAATTTGACAATAATAGCACTGAAAACCTATCTTACCAGTCGTGACAGACGTACATTGAGCTACAAGATACGGCGTTCCAGATGATCCAGATGCCCTGCTCTATTCAGATTAAAGACAACCAGCCGTGACAGATATAGACTGTCAATATAAAGGACGATAGTCACGTATGTATGTATGATGATCTAAACTAAGCTAGTTACTGAAACTATTAGCGCTCTGTTATTATTGTAGCAAATTAATAGGAACATGCCGGATACTGTTAATAATTAAACACACCACCTATAAATCATATCAATTATTGATCATAATGAAGAAATCAATTATATTAAGCTGTCATAAGGGTCTATTGTTTGACACATGTTCTTTTGAACATATCCAATGCATTAAGATAACTCTTTTATATTCTCAGCAAAAATGGACAGATGTTGGATTTAATGTCCAGTAACTACTAACGTAATGATATATTTTCTTTCATTTTAGGAATCTATTCGACTCCCAATTCCATGGTCAAAGAATCTTATATATACGGCGCCAATTAGTAAACGGATTTTGTATATACAGCCCAAACGACGAGACAACTTTACTGTGTGACAAATGTAAGCCTGGCTTAAATGATTAAAATAATATAATACTAAACTGTACTACAAGTGCTCTTAAATTGGTCGATATTACATTTAAATTTAATAATACATTCTAAAAAGATTAATTATACCTGTTCAGTCGATGTTGTAGAGTAGAGTAAAATAAAATTGGAAGGGAGGAGTGAAGAGGACGTAATGAAAGGAACAGTGTTTGTAGTTTTGTCAGTCTCCATATGTTGTACAAATAAATACACATTTCTTATGGACGTTCAAATGTTTATCAACCTTATATTTATTTGTTTATAAAAACGCTTGTGACGAAATTGTATTGAGTCTTTGGCATGCGTCCATTAACTGTGTTTAAACTGTACAAACATACAAGATGGAAAATGTCGAAAAATGTGAACCGACATTGAATCGTGCATATCCCCTTTAAAAAAAATTTAGTACAAAAATTACAACAAAAACGATTATACACAGGACGCTGTGAATACCATTATTGTTTTAGTATTGTATTCTAGAATTGTGTTCTGTGTATTTCTAATTCAAGTTCTAAATGTCATTGAAACCATTTAAAAATTGATTTGATTTGTTCAACTCAAATGGTATCATAAAGTTAAATCCAATACTTCGGTCATTTTGAGAATAACATATACGGTTAATTATATTTAAGGCTACTATGTGTGAAATATAACAGAATATAATTTAGCCTGAACAGCGACGTTCCAGCCTATTGATTTTTAAATTCAGTTTTCAAGCGTCCTTTTAAATGTAAGCCATGCAGCCATTGCGTATATAGAGGGGGAACTTTGTCTGCGATATCATCCAAGGTAGAAGCGTTCCTTAAGCCCTAATCAAGTCAAGTACTGTTCTACTAGTTCCTCTCGGACCATTCACGTTCCTAACGGCTTGACTACCGCGACACAGGTCACTCTAGTAATCAATATTATCTGTCTTTATACATGTATTACAGAGGTGATATATTGAGAAAAAACAACAATGAATACATTTTTTCTTGTCCCGGAAGCACTATTTCCGTTTCCTTCCTGGTTAACACCCCACTTCTACATCTACAAATGTCCAGAATTCAACTTACCAAATAATCAAATGTTACCAAACAAATAATAAAATAAGGAAATATACCCAATGAAAATAACAAAAAGAAAAATGGGCATATTTATTTAGCCTTTATTTGCCAGCTTAAAGACTCAAACTAAATAACCAATGGGTCCTGATATTGTATCTCTAACACATTCTGTCACGTTCATTACATAAAAGCCAATGTTAGTCATAGATAGTAGTTTGCACCAATTGAGCCGTTGGTATATGACACTATACGATTGAAGTAAACTTTAGATAATAGTCAAATAGCGTTTACATAAATTGTATGGGCAATTAACGCTTTGCATCAATTATTTTACAAAAGTATTTTCTCCTTGTAAATGTTATATATAGTGATATAATTATTGTATACTAATAAACGTGTCTTCTAACTAGATCGAAGGAACTTAGAAAGGACTTTTATAATAAACATACCGAATACTAAACTCTCTTGACATGTTATTATGGAGGGTAAGAACTTCATCCTCAACGTTTTTACATTATAATAAGTTTATCAAGTCATCTAACAAAAAGTAATCCTGTAGTTTGTTCACAAGGAATTGTATACGGACAACTGGTCGGCGGACAGACAACGAATGATGGCGAGCCCGGAAAGGTGTCAACGTCTCAATACAATTTGGGTATTTTCACACCAACTTATGGCTAATTTTCCTAAGGAATGAGAAAATTTAGTCCGTTCAGCGGTGCTTACGCCTTCATCGAAATTCAATGTCCATGCATTCCAATGTATACACGGGTGTACCTAGGTTTTCCGTTGCATCCCAGACACTGAGCAACACTTCACTGTCCCTTAGGAACACATCGAGTTTCGTACCCAGGACACTCAAGTCCAGTCGACTAACGCGGCAACCACGATGTAGGCCTGATTAAGATTATTCAGAGGACGAATGTTTCTAGAGTTTTAAAACGTTGCGTGTTGAAAACACGGGGTCCATTCTATACATTCGCTTTAATAACGTTCTATATTATCTAGATAACAATAACCCAAATGAAGCGTTTCACTTTTAAAGATTCATGCCGATAGTGTAGGAGTTCATAATTATTGATATTTATAGAGAGCAAACATTATAAACATAACAAAGATGGATAAATTTTGATAGGTATAAGCGAGATTCACAAACAGTTCGTAGGCGTCTTGTATCCAAGAGACAAATGCATATTTCCATATGCGCTGTGATAATATTCATCTAGAACAATACCTTTTATTAAAAGTTATAATATGATATGATATATACTGCGATTCCCATTCAAGTGCTTTTGAAACTATATTTTATGCAAACTATTTTAGATATTTTCGAGATAAGTTTAGCATAGGAAAATATAATATAAAGTGTTTCTATAAAAATGGCTTTAAAAATATAATAATGTGCGATGTTTTCGGGAAATTTTAACAAATAGTATTATATTTTTCAAAAGTTTGTCGACAACATTGCGATCAGAAAGAACAGAAACTGGCAACAGAGTCCAATTTCAAATAATCTCTCTGACTTGACACAAACATGGTTTTGTTATCTAAAAGCCGTAGATTGGCAAATAGATTTAGTCATTTGGAAGGTATAAAAATTACTACAAAACAAAACTCGAAGTCATTATGAATAATTGATAGCGTCTTATTACTCCTTTAAACTGCAGTTTTAATGCAAAGTCTTCTGATATTTTATGGTGTTATATTTGTAATCCAGTAAATAGTTTATATCTCTAATTTGTTTATGTCAGTACCCGAAGTTATTCGCAACCTTATTTGTAGTGTCTAAAGACAATGCTTTATCATCTTTTGTTTTATCTATCATGTGACATATACGTTTCAAGAACTTTATCGAATGTCAATTGTTAAGGAAATATTTTCATAATTGTGTGATTTATTTATGTCTATAGGATAATCAATACACTTTTGATCAATAAGTTCCTTTTAATTGTCAAAGTAAAATATGTTTTATGTCACCCATGTAGCTCTTTAAAGGACAACAAGCCATGGTCTACAATTAAAGGGAGACCTTGTAATTAGGACGGTTCTGTGCGTTTGGGGAGAGCGGAAAGTCCAACAAATCAAGTTAGACACCGCAAGGGTTAGGGATAGTTCCCGATAGATAAGTTTTTTTGTATGTAAAACCAACATTACTCCACCATAACTAAAAACACCATAACTCTTCTAATCGTAGTATGCCAATTGAAAATAGATAAAATTATGAACGTCTTTACATCACAACAAGCCATGGTCTATAATTTAAGGGGGGCCCCGTAATTAGGCCGGTTCTGTGAGTTTTTGGGGAGAAGGGAAAGTCCCACAAACCGAGTTAGACATCGCAAGGGTTAGGGTTAGGTAAAGTTCCCGACAGATGAACCTTTTTGTATGTACGTTAGACGATACCAACATTACACCACTATAACAGAAAAACACCATTACTCTTCTAATCGTTCTATCCTAATTGAAAAAAGATCAAATTATGAACGTCCTGTCAAAAATATTCTCTTACATTTGACCGACATGGAGCTATGCCATTTTTGAAATCCCAGGGTAGACATGATATCAAAAACAACCCGTAGCTTTATTTGGGGTTAATTAACCGCCATAGATATCTTTTGCAATGAAATTCAACTGATTCATGTTAGCCAACGGACATCTATTTTTAAACAGAAATAAACCTTTCTGCAAGCTCAGTTCGTAGCTATTTTGGGCTGATATTGTGGATACACATTCTAATTTCCCTATTCATTGTAGTGTTCCACTGTTTAAATGGAAGAACAGTGTCATTTCACAGTAATTTTGCCATTTGTCGAGTCTCTATATGTGCCCCTCTTTCACGCAACAAATTCGAAAGTTCAAATGTGAATTTGATCTAAAACATAGCGAATTTTAGAAGAAAAGACGAAAGCGTGAGACAATATTATCAACATACATGTCCTCAAAGACTTACCAGTTCGCTGAGCAAGTCCTTTCTCAAACTGTTTACGATATCATGTTTTATAAATCCAATAATACCTGTCTATAATAACTACCGGTCTTCTCGGTCTTCTATACAGATCTATAGGACGACAGTAATTAAATTACATCAATAGCTCATCATTACCTTTATGTAGTCCAGAAGATGATATAACCTTTACTTGGTGTTCTCTATACTAATCCCAACTCTTTGATAACACAGGTTTGTCCATTCATACATACATTGATGAGTTAGGTCTAAACACTTCAAGTCCCTCGTAACACTGGGAGTGACTAAACAATACAACCTTCTTTTCTTCAACTGATAATAATTTTTTCGAGACTAAAATTCTCCTCCTCTTATAATCTTCATTGTTTAAAATCTAATCGAACTCCTTACTGATGTGGTGTTGGTGATCTTGACGTCCGATTCCGGTTTAATGATATGACTGACATGAGCGACTGTCTCTATCCAACGGGCTATAAACCCCAAGCTGTGAACACACATTGAGCAAACACTACGCGACAACCGTTCAAATATTTAGATGACGTTACATACACTCGACAGTCTTTCCTTAATTCTGACGTACAAATCAACACGACTTCATTGTGCTGTTTATTTTTCTCATTCCCGCATTTACTTTACATTGTTGACTGTATATTTCCTCTATTCAGTTGTTGCTCAAACAACCTGCAGTTCTTTCATCTGGTAAAAAGGCTTGTAGAGAAATCCCCATTCCTAGCACTAGCAGTATCATTAGAATTTACAAACCTTAACTTGTTTGCTCAGCTATAACTGTGGATGACGGCCAAAACATACGGAAACACCCATATGCCAAAAACAAAACAGAAAAAAAAAGAATCTGACCGCGTGGGACTTTAGTTTCCACAAAACAATCCTAATTGACTTCGTCTGTAAAGTTTAATTAGAATGCATATTCCTTCATTAATTGGGGTTTGCACCCACAAGACACAAAAATAATTTATAAGTCAATCGTGTTCCCTTGACGCATTTTTAAAAGGCGTGATTGGATGCCTTCTGAATAGAAATGGCAAAATGCTTTCTTGCATATATTTTTTTAACTGCAGTCGAGCTAACGCCTGCAAAGCGTAAACAAATTAAAAGTAACGAATTGGATGCGTCATCAAGGTAATTCAATGCTGGTTCAAAATTATACATCTCAGCTAAGCTAAATCTAATCCTTGAAAAGTTATGTCATTTGCGAAAGTAAGGTTATACAGTAAATATCTAGCCTATCTTTCTTCGAAAGGCGAAGGGCAAATAAAACCGTTAGTTACTTTATATGGCTAATTCTGATATTTTGAGAGCCACCACAAACATGATAGTTCATAATATATGTGATCTAATGACATATATGTAACTATATTATTTTTGCACCACATAAATGACAATATATGATCCGATTACTCTATATTCATTTCCCATCCGACATTATATACTTTTTTCACCAAGACTTAGATTTCAGAAGCTACTGCACATCCATAGCATTCTATACTTTTTTTTTAAATACAACACCCACTAATAGGAGACCCCTTTATAAAATGAGTTAAAATTGTGCACGTTATTTGCCAGAATTTTTATAGCTTGAGAATATTACTGAGCACAATATTATTGCAATTAGTAGGACTTCACATTATAATATGCCGCTTCAATGGACTGTTTATACGGGTTATAGCATTCATGACAGCCCCAAATTCATCAAATAACTCCGAATTACTGAACGAGTATTAGGCCTAAACACTTCTTCTGTCCGGTCCTGATCGTTTGCCAGTATTCATACACGGTTTGCACGAACATGTGGTCTGTTAAATGCGTGCAAAACAGAGTTGAGCCAATAAAGATGGTCATTGCCTATTCTATAAAATATTTAAAATTCGACCACAACATTGACCCTAAATCTAAGAATATTATGGCGTCAGATATAGACATGATTGGCCACCATTAACTGGTCCGTACTCGACAACGAGAAATGATATATTATAAGATGATAGAAGTTGTGCAAGTCCGATAACGGTGTTTCGTGATCAGTTTCTATACGTTCGGAGATCCCGTTATATACTTTGGCATGCACGTAAACGATCTCTTGGCAAAACTTCTCCTACTGTACACTGTATGACCCAGTCGGAGCAGAATAGTAGGATGTTAAAACCCATTTTATTTCATTTCTTAAACTATTCATAACGGAAATACCAAAGTAACACTTGTAATAAAACACATCCCTGCGTCACCCCAAGATCATAGTATTGTTAATTTAGAATACTAAATATCATTGTTGATATATGGACTCTTTACATATCTCTACAAACAGATTTAAACGCAGAAAACGGCCCTTCATTATCTTTAAGTGTATAGTAAAATAATACGCCAGTACTAAAAAATAACAACTAACAAATCCAGCAGCAACTTATGTAAGAAAACATAATAATAATAATAATAATAATCGTTTTCTATAGCGCTGAACATTCAGTCAGTTCGATTTTATTAGATGGAATTCAAAGATTTGTTGTGTTAAAAGCGCGTGAACTTATTTAATTTGATTTGTGTAATTTGGTCAATTCAAAAAATGACAAACATCGTCATCGATCGGATTTTTTTTTTTTCAATTCAGGTTTGAATGGCCAATGAATGTACAAAAATATTGGGAAATTGATTTCAAAAGGTGGTAGTTAAATGTGTCCAACCACTTCCGTTATTTTGCCAATCAATTCAAGACCATTAAAAAGGTTTACTCTTAAAGCTTAAACATTCTTTTATTTTTTATATTGTATTGTGCATATTTTAAACCACAAAAATGCTGTAGATACAACTCTAGTCCATGAAATACCCTATAAGATCTTTTTTTAATGCCATAGTTTACAGTTCCTTCTTCTCTCAAGGTTATTGATAAAAGACCCCTACCCCCATTCTAGACCAAGAGACGATCAATGGTATTTTTAAGATGATGACGCCAGTCTGGAAGACGCAGTGGGGATTTACTTTTTGACAACTGCCTTCTAATTGTTATTTCTGCGGCGTGGCCAGCCAAACTGATGTTTGAGAGAGAGGTGGTCTATATTTAATTTACAAATTAAGAGTGTTACAGTGGATTTCGAAATTCAATATGACGACACGCCAATAATATATTTTTTTGAATTATGTTCTGCGTTTTTGTTCAAAGATAAATGCGTTTATTATTAAATATACACATATCGAAACAAGGCATTTGTAAGGGTTTTTTTTTTTTTTTTGTATTGAAGTCTATTCCTTTGCAATGTCCTGGGCATATTATATGCGACTGTTTATTCAAACTAAATACGTTACTAACTCTTTCGCGTTTTAAAAAGTACATTTGGCTGTAGGAAGCGGAGAAATTTAGCTTATATCAGCCAGGCAATATGACTTTTTGAATACAAACTCGCCACAGTCATATTAATTCTCTCGGAAATAATTTCTAAAGAGGTGATATTTAAAAAACAATTTACAAGCAAGTTAATGACAAATATCTATTACTGTTATTTCACGGTACTGTAGAGTCTGAAATTGACAGTAAAATATTCCATATTCATCTCAGATTATTATTACTGTTATTTCACGGTACTGTAGAGTTTGAAATCAATATTAAAATATTCTATATAAGTATCAAATTCGGCAAAGTCCTTTTTAAAAAAAAACAAAAACAGACAAATATGAAAGTAACAAAGAATGATGATAAAAATTCAATTTTTCGACTTCAAATAAATTTTCATTCGACTTTTAATATGCGCCTCGAAGAAAAAGACGATATCTATATGCTAGCGGGTGGTTATAAAACTTCGTGACATGCACATAACATGATATAATAATGTATATAAACCTATATATTTATTTTACAAATTCTAATGTTTCAGAAGATTCCAAAATTCAATATTTGGCGTTTACGCTCATTTTACATTATTATCCTTTAGGGTTAAATTGGTACATCTCCATCAGTCACCAAACTTCACCGCTTTTATATTGGGATTTAAATTCCTAATCAATTGCACAGTCTATATCTTCTATTTGATTAGAGAGATAAATCCGGTTCGTTTCAATCATTAGATATTATTCAAATATGTATTTTATAACCTGGAATTGAGATAAAACACGTTTTGGGATATTTTCTTTGGAAACAGGATTGATCACATGAAATGCAAATGAGATTTAACTTCCCACTTTCTGCACCAACCGGACTAATAAAGACGGGCATACGTCATATAGGGGGGGGGGGGGTGGCGAATGGTTAGCACGTGTGCGCTGTATCAGTTTTACGTTCCTGTAGTTTCCGTGGCAAGACCTATTTACTGCGATTAATCAAGGAATACTGTCTTACAGTGATTGAAAAGTAAAGTTAACAGATATTTTATTTTAATATATGACCGACGACCGTCGTGGCGACTATATACCTATTTTTGTTTATATAAATGAAATTCATATATTCATTATTTTTCATCGGGATTGGAAATATTGTAATAACAAAGTTGCCCTGACATAAAACAAATGTTTTTGTTGAACCTGCCTGTTTGCTACACCTGTTGGAGGTCAACAAATACGCCAAATATCTAAGACCTCTGTTTGTTTCAATTGTGTTTAGTCCCCTTGGCTTGTTTTCACTCGGTCAACATTCCAATGGCACATTTTTCCTACGTTTGAGTTGTGCTGTTCATGTTTAGTAATTACAAAGCAACATTTACAAGAGAGTGGAAAAAGTTCAAAATCTACATGTTTTCAAGTTTAAAAAATAGTTTCTATATAAGTCTTGAATTTTAAACAAAAACGTATAGAGACTGGTAGTATGAGATTCTTCTAGAAAAATGTTTGGTATTTTGGATATATTTGTCCTTCACACCTCATTGAAACATGTTATTCAACTATTTTATTTATATTTAAATTTGAAATACTTTAACTGTGAATCTTGATGTGTCCACTTTTTTTACATTTCAATTTCTTTGAATGTGAACGTTACAGTCTTGAATCAGATGAACGCTTTGTTGTTATTGGATGAAAGGACGAGCCGAATCCTGGAATCTGAAACACGTTGTCGTGGCTTGGCTCGGTTTCTTGTGTACAGGACTCTAGTCAAAAATACCAGCTATGTATCTATTTGGTGCAATAATTTCATATGTAACTTCTTTTATAACAGCGGGTATTTAATTTACTTTTGTTTTCTTTTCGCTGTTTTTATGTAACACGTTGACATGCATACTCCTTGCAGTGGTTCGTTTGATTATACCTAATCCCACTTAACACTGATGTAAAGAAAGCAAATTTCTGTTCTAAATTATGACTGGTCAATATTCCGATAAACAACCAATAGCTAACTGCGTATTACTATGTCACCGTTTTAATACCTTAAATCACTGTCCAAAGTTTTTGGGAAGACCCCAGATTAAACGAAGGGCTGTCATGTTGCTCTACTTGGGATAGATTTGATTGAACGGGAAGAATAGACACATTCCCTTAAAAGCTCAAGTATCAGACGCCAATCCAGCAATTGCCACAGAGGGATTTCTCGGCCCATTGCTTCAGTAATATGGTTGTTAGGGAGCTTTCCGACAACAGGATTGTTCATTATTAGTGTTGTAAATCATTTAGATATAACATTATTTATTATCATTAGCTATACTTAGGTATCGTATTGTATATTATACTTTTATTCAGTGAGTAAGGTTCTGGCTCGTTAATCAGGAAGTCTTGGGTTCGCTCCCGGTGTTGGCCGAGAAAAATCCTCGATATTTTCCGGCGTGGTGTCTACGTGT